CCCTTAGTCTACAAGAAATCACGCACATGTAAAGCATGATTTGGTATCTCAGGTAAAGTGGTCATGATGGCAAAGAATATGGGGAAAAAATGAGACTTGTTTTGGAAGCGCCTCCCCATATGCCTCTCCTTATGAGACCTCCCCAAGACTCTGATCTGAGATGGCAGGCAGGGATGCTGGAGGTCAAGAATTACAGCTGACAGGACAACAGTCACTGCCCAAGGCTACCTAAAGCACACACACCCTCAGAAAATTCTCTTAACTCTGAGAACACTGTTACTACTCAGGCTCCAGGGGGTTTTTGTTTTCTTTTTTTCTACTTTAGATGTACCATAGGTAAGTCAACCATTAACCTGCTATTGAAACATTCTTAGGTTATCACTAGTTATTTTTCCACTACACATATTGCTGTGTGAAGGTAATAAAAACTTGAGTCACTTGTGTCAAAACTCATACCAAGGCCGGCTAAGTAGCACAGCAGTAATGTGCTGCTCTAGTGATGCTGTGTCCGTGTGGAAGTTCATGGGTTTGGTTCCCTGGTCAGTGTTTACATATTGGTCATACATGTCCATCATCCTGGCTGGCTAGAAAGGATGTGGTGGTGGTGGTGGTGGTGGTGGTAGTAAGGGGGACTGGTTCAGTGGAAGATCCTATTGAGGGTACCCCTCCTCTTTCTTACATATACTCTCAAAGAAATGAACTTCCAGAAAATCCTAACCAAAATGAAGAAAAGGTCATCAAGAGGCTCCCATACTTAATTCCTGAAATGCCTGCACATCACCTTCACTTCCTGTTACCTCTAATAAGCTTATCTCCCTTTCTCTTTCTCTCACTCTATCTCTGCAAGTGACTAAGCAGAGGCTGGACAAATGTTGGTCCAGTGTTCTTGGTCTTTGTAGCCACCAGAATCATCAGCCAAATAAATCTCTGGTTTTTTTATAAATCACTTAGTCTCAGGTATTTCTACTTAGCAATACAATAATGGACTACAACAGGAAATTTGCACATCAAGTAGGATTGCTATAGGTATCTGAAAATATGTATCTTTGGAATTGGGTAATGGACAGAGGCTGAAAGATTTTGGAGGAGCATTCAAGGAAAAGCCTGTATTTTAGTACAGACTTAGAACAGCTTAGTAATGAGGTGAAAACTTTTTAGAGATTGGATAAGTGCCTGTAACTACAATATTGATAGAAATACAGACTGGTGGCTCAGCAGTTGTGCAACTGGATCCACATGGAAAAAGTTCTGGGTTCACACCCCAGGACCTCCCTGAGTATGCTGAGTGTGTATGTATCCATGATGTAGGCCAGTTGAGATGGCATAAATCATAGTGCAAAGGTTCCATTAGAGATCCCTCTATCATGAAATAAACTTTTAAAAAAATATGGATAGTAAAGAACGTTGTGAGAAAGTATCAGCTGTGAGGAATTTATTGAGTTGGAAGAAACCCCATCCTTTGGACCTATAAAGTAGCAAAAAAATTGCCTGCACTGTGTCCATGCCCTAATGCACCGTGGAAAGACTAATTCAAAAATGATCTAAGTTCTCTAGCTATAATTTTCTATACAGCAAAGGTTACTGTGTGGTTACTGTCAACTGCATTTAGTAAAAGTTTAGGAGATAAGGTAAGTAGAATATATTTGGAAAAGTTGCAGCCTGGCCATATGGCAGAGCTACTAGTTACTAACATTAATAGTGCTGATAGAAGAGAACCAAGTGCTAACAAGCAAGACAATGGGAAGAAGGCTCTAAGGGCATCTCAGATACCTTCATAATTGCCCCTCTGAACAAGTTCATAAGTCTGGGAGGACAAAATGGTTCCTGAGAAAAGGCTTACTGCATCTCAGCCTAATGGTTGACTGCTCTAGTCATGAGTTAAGTCCCAGTGGTGGCAACATTACCAACCATGTAGGGTTCATGGTGTTATTTCCTCAGGTGTGCAAAACGCTGAAGCTATGGGGGCACTGCAACTTCCAGATTTCATATATATATGTGTGTGTGTGTGCATATATACACACATATATATATATATATATATGTATACACACACACATGTATATATATATATATATATCAAAAAGCCTGAGAGCAAAAACAGAGACTTGCTACAAGAGAGGAGGAGCCATAACAAAGTTTTTACTAGGTTAGTGCCAAATGGAAATGTGAGGTCAGAGTACCAACCATGGCAGTGCTTAGTGAAACCACAGGAGTGGGGCTCCCCTCAAGATCTCACACATGCAGAGCCACCAGAATTCTGCAACAGCCACTCATGAAAGATTCATGTACTGGAATTTTAAATATTATCAGATAAATAGGATGTGACCAGCAAAGACATGAGGGCAGTGCTGCCCAGAGTCAACAAAGAATAACTTGTCCCCCAAAAATTCATGTTTTGGAATTTATTCTATCAAGGAGAACCCTCAAAGCAGCTAGATACTTCCATGTTTTCTTTGAGTATGAACAGAAGGCTGTGGGACATAAGAGTAAACAAGTTGTTCTTGTTTCAATATCTAATGTTTGCCAGCTTGGATTTCAGATTTGCTTAGGACTTGCTACTCATTTCTTCCTGAGAAAAGGCTTACTGCATCTCAGCCTAATGGTTGACTGCTCTAGTCATGAGTTAAGTCCCAGTGGTGGCAACATTACCAACCATGTAGGGTTCATGGTGTTATTTCCTCAGGTGTGCAAAACGCTGAAGCTATGGGGGCACTGCAACTTCCAGATTTCATATATATATGTGTGTGTGTGTGCATATATACACACACATATATATATATATATATATGTATACACACACACATGTATATATATATATATATATATCAAAAAGCCTGAGAGCAAAAACAGAGACTTGCTACAAGAGAGGAGGAGCCATAACAAAGTTTTTACTAGGTTAGTGCCAAATGGAAATGTGAGGTCAGAGTACCAACCATGGCAGTGCTTAGTGAAACCACAGGAGTGGGGCTCCCCTCAAGATCTCACACATGCAGAGCCACCAGAATTCTGCAACAGCCACTCATGAAAGATTCATGTACTGGAATTTTAAATATTATCAGATAAATAGGATGTGACCAGCAAAGACATGAGGGCAGTGCTGCCCAGAGTCAACAAAGAATAACTTGTCCCCCAAAAATTCATGTTTTGGAATTTATTCTATCAAGGAGAACCCTCAAAGCAGCTAGATACTTCCATGTTTTCTTTGAGTATGAACAGAAGGCTGTGGGACATAAGAGTAAACAAGTTGTTCTTGTTTCAATATCTAATGTTTGCCAGCTTGGATTTCAGATTTGCTTAGGACTTGCTACTCATTTCTTCTTGTGGAATCGGAATTTCTACTCTATGCCTGCCCCCACCATTGTATCTGCAGAGTCACTGACATGTTTTCTTGATTTCAAAGGCTCACAACTGAAAGGAGTCTGCTTTAAGTCTCAGATAAGACTCGACTTGGACTTTTGACTTGGTGCTAAAACAAGTTAAAACTTAAGAAACTAGTAGAATGGGGTGATTGTCTTTTCTATGAAAGAAAAACAAACTTTCAGGGCTAGAAATGGAATGCTATGATTTGGATAATGGTTTTTCTCCCAGAAAGATGTGTCTAGGAATTTGGTCCCTAGTGTTGAGAGGTGGTGAGACCTTTAAGAAGTAAGGCCTAGTGGGTGGTGTTTGGATCATGGGAGACTGTCATCATGAATAATTGGTGTGGTCTTGTGTTTGTCATCCACACTGTGGTATTTTGTCTGGCATTCAGAACAGACTAATGCAATGGATGAGGAGTCAGTCATAAGTCATATTAAAAAACTGACAATTAGAGGGCAATAAAGTTAGAGTACCACCATTCACCAAATCTAGTCAAGTAACACCACCAAGAGGTATCAATGAAGAATTCAATTTCAACATTTCTTAGAACAGTTTAAAGGACAGGAAGACCTGACATCATATTGTTCCAATAGGAACTTCATACTGATAAGAAAGTTTATCAATACACACATCTCTTCAAACAATAGATTTAAGAAAAAAAAAAACTTTATTTCTAGGTTGGTGTTATCCAGGATCCAATTAAAGCAATTTCTAATAAGGCATAAAAGTACACTGCAATTAAAGTATGCAATCTTTCTGAAGTGAATATATGTTATAAAATTAACTCAACTGTTAAGATGCCTTCTAAAAAAAAAAAAGAGCCCACAACTGCCCTAAAAATATTATCTACATGGGGGCAGATACACCCAAGTCACAGCCTCATGATATATTGCTCTGCCATGCAAGTGTAGATGAGACCTGTGACTGGGCTCTCACCAGCAGAATATGGCAAAGTTATGGGGATATCATGCTGTGATTACATTATTTAAGGCTATCCTAGCAGTGTAACCCTCCCAATCAGCCTTAATGCAACCCTGTGTGACCTGCCTATGGAGAAGGTTAAAAGGCAGGAAACTGGGCAGCTCCAGGACACACAAAAAAAAAAAAAAAAAAAAAAAAAAAAACCTGGGCCCTTGTTCATAGATCCTCAAGAAAAGGTAATAAAACCTGAACAGCACAAAAGCAAAGTGCTCACCACTTAAGCTTCCAGGTAAGACTGGAGTCTGGTCAATACCTTTATTGCAGTTTTCTGAGATATTGAGCAGAGGATCCACCTATGCTGTCCAACACTTGACCTGCAGTGATTTCTGTTAAATGGCACACAGATACTGGGTTGTCAGAAAAATCATAACATACTTTTTAAAAATGCCTTTCTATGCAAAAAGGCACCATGAATTTTCTGACAATCCAGTACATAATCTCAACCTGTGTCATATATAGGAATAAAAAAGTAAGTTTCCCTTCCAGAGACTACTTTCACTGAATAGGATAGAGGGAGTGCTGCTGTTCACAGTTGTTTAACTCAAAAGTAACCTATTAAGTGCTTGTTTTGTACATTTCTATGTAAATAGTGTTTCTCTCAGCCTTATCAACTGACTGAATAACACAAACTTCAGGGAAGGAAAAGTCATTAGTTCAGAGACAGTGATCACAAAAATTTACAAATACCAAGTGAGTAGGAAAAAAACACATAGTGGAATGTCTTACATACCATATTTAACAAGCTATGGGGCAAGGGTAGCATTTAATGTGGAAAATCCTAACAAATCACAATATTTATTAAGCTAAAGGTACATATTCCCTAATCAGTTGCACTAGGTTTAAGTAAAGTTTATGTTAACATAAAATGGTCATCTGCATATACCCTACAAAACTGTGGGGGTACTGTTTGTGCTGTACCATTGAGCATCTTCTCCATGCCCTACCCAGTGCATGCCATCAACATCTCAGTCCCTCATTATGAAAACCAAAAATGACTCCAGCAATTGCCAAATGTTCCCTGGAAGGCAACATCACCAACACTAGAGATATACTATCTATGTCATCAACTACATGTTTTATATTCTCAACAACATATTTAACAATTCCATTTAAAATTTTTTGTCTATATTACCTAAACTGATAATTTCTCTTTATTACAAATTCTGTTGTATAAAAAGTTTGAAGTTTTGTTAAAAATTTTAACACATTAAGATATTTATAAATATTTACTTTACTCTGATGTGACTGCCTGTCAATGGTATTATCAAATTTATTGAGTTCTTTGTTTCTCCACAATTTGAGTTTTCCATCACCTGACTTGGGGGTAGAAGGGGATGACACAGGTTTCTCTTCTGTGTAAATCTTATGATACACAAGGATTGGCTATCTCTCAGAAAGATCTATCATATCCATAAAGTAAAATAGCTATAGTGGGATGACTGGGTTGTCATGCAAACAGATCACACAATGGAGTATTTCTTACAGAAAGCACAGATAGAGACTTTAGGGATGGAAGTGAGAAGATCTTGTCTCTCCAATTAATTCCTTCTAAATCATGATTACCTCCCACCTGTGGTCCCCAAGGTCAACATGGAGGACATCTGTATGCTAATCCCAAAGGGATAAGAAATGAGAGGGCCACATGGGTTGGTTTGTTTTTGCTGCCAGGCTCAGAAATAACTATCATCACTTGTGTCCTTATTCTCCTTGGCAAAGCTCAGTTATATGGTCCCACCCACAATAATGAAAAGCAGAAAAATTTAGGTTTTGTGTCCCAGAGAAAAGAGAATGGTTTTTAGAGAACACATAACCAGTCTCTGTCATACAGGATTTCTCCCCCATGTGAGTTCGCTGATGTTTGCTGAGGTTTGATTTATGACAAAAGGTTTTTCCACATTCACTACATCCATAGGGTTTCTCCCCTGTGTGAGTTTTCTGATGCCTGCTGAGGTAAGACTTCTGGACGAAAGTTTTTCCACATTCATTACATTCATAGGGTTTCTCCCCTGTGTGAGTTTTCTGATGTACAGTAAGATCTGAGTTACGGTAGAAAGCTTTCCTACATTTGTTACACTCATAGGGTTTCTCTCCTGTGTGAGTTCTCTGGTGTACAATGAGAAGTGACTTTCTGTAGTAAATTTTTCTACATTCTTTACATTCATATGGTTTCTCTCCTGTGTGACTTCTCTGATGTACAGTGAGATCTGATTTATGGTAGAAAGATTTCCTACATTCTTTACATTTGAAGGGTTTCTCTCCAGTGTGAGTTCTCTCATGTACAATAAGGACTGACTTCTGAAAGTAAATTTTCCCACATTTGTGACATTCATAAGGTTTCTCTCCTGGGTGAGTTCCCTGATGCCTGGTGAGATTTGACTTGTGGCAAAAGGTTTTTCCACATTGGTAACATTCATAGGGTTTTTCTCCTGTGTGAATTCTCTGATGAACAGTTAGGTCTGACTTATGGCTGAAGGATTTCTCACATTCATTGCATGCATAGGGCTTCTCCCCGGTATGTGTTCTCTGATGTTTTGTAAGGTATGATTTCTCAATGAAGGATTTCTCACATTCGCTACATTTATAGGGCTTGTGTCCTGTGTGGATTCTCTGATGAACAGTAAGGTCTGACTTATGGGTAAAGGATTTCTCACATTCATTACATGCATAGGGCTTCTCCCCTGTGTGTGTTCTCTGATGTTTTTTAAGATACGATTTCTGAATAAAAGATTTCTCACACAGATAACATTCATAGGGTTTTACCCCTGTGTGGATTCTCTGATGAACAGTTAGGTCTGATTTATGAGTAAAGGATTTCTCACATTCATTACATGCATAAGGTTTCTCCCCTGTGTGCGTTCTCTGATGTTTTCTAAGGTATGATTTCTCAATAAAGGATTTTTCACATTCACTGCATTTATAGGGTTTCTCTCCTGTGTGTATTTTTTGATGTTGAGTGAGTTTAGATTTTTTATAGAACATTTTTCCACACACATTGCATTCAAAAGATTTGTTCCCTATCTGAGTTATCTCTTGGGCAATAAGGGCTGACTTTTCACAGTCTTCCCCATACTCATTATATCTACAGGAGCTCTCTCCCATATGAACCATCTGATGCGTCAACAATATCGCCTCCATACTGAAGACTTTCCCTTGTCCACTGTATTCAAAAGGCTGCTGCCCAGTCTGAAACTCATGATGCTGTTGAAGATGCTCATAACAGTGGAGGGGTGTCCCAGTTATACCACAGGCATTAGGCTCCACCCCCGGATGGACCTCACTAGGCTCACTAGGGAGAAGCATGTTCTGACATACATTAAACTCATCAGGCCACATTTCTGAATAATTCCCATTATTTATAATCAGTTTTGAAACAGGGTTTGAGCTTAAATCAAATGTTTTTTCTAATTCAACTCTCTCCTTAGTAGATGTGTTGTTGATGATTACAACTTGCCACAAATGTCTACCATAAATTTCCTGGCTGGTCTCAATCAGGTCCTCCCACTTCTGGACATCTAAAATGAGAGAAAAACAACCATGTCTATAAGCCACATTTATACATTTCTTATAAAAGGCTCATGTGAACATAAAAAGTTTCTTTCTATCTCAATGGTACAAGATTTTAAAATATCAGTAAGAGGTACTAAATTATAAGTATATGGCTGTTCTTTTTTTAGCTTATACAGCAAATTAACAGATATTCCAATGTTACATTGCAATTTCCTTTGTTTTTTAACATGAAGAAATATTTAGTCAAAATATTAATGCATTGCCTATCTCTAGTGTTATGCTAAATGTATTTTTGAAGTCTATTTATTTTTTTATTTCATAAGTGAGCGAGAGAGAACATGTATATGATAGCAATCACCCTCAAAGAGGATCTCATGCTGCAATCCACCTCTTACCTTCAGCTACTCCAGATCATATGCAAGCATGAGCCCAGTATAATCAAGGTCTTTAAACTCAAATTGAGGACCTTCCCATGTGGGATTACCTCACAGAGAGTATTCATCACATTTTACCACTGCACCACCATCTGGGTCCAAGCTGAATGTTGTTTATCAGCCATTTGTTTTTCCTGTTGTTTTTCTCTAGATTTTTTTTTATTTTATAATGCTCCTTTCCTGATATTTTGAAGATGATAAGGTTTTCCTGGACCAGCTACTTGAACAATGTTGGTGAGGTCCACTTGACTTGTGTTTAAGCAGGACTGCTGCTTAGGAGAAAGGATTTGCAGCTTTGCAGCCATATTTCTTTTTAGTTTTTACCCTTCTCCAGGGAAGCAATAGGCATCTGTGTGGTTTTCTAAACACAAAATCTCTTCACTCTATATGAAAACAGCTTGCTCCAAATTCTTAATTTAACCTGGTATCTTCTCAGAACCTTAACAGGTACAGGAATCTCCAATCCAGCACCCTGGGCACCCTCTCCAAGATGGTCTAAAGCAGTGTTCTACAATCCAGGTTGTGCCCATCATCTTTTTATTTATTTATTTATTTATTTATGTATTTATTTATTTATTTATTTGGAGAGGTTTTCACTATAGGGTGTGTGCACTCGCCAGAAAGACAGAGAGAGACAGAGAGACAGAAAGCGAGAAATCACCCCTGAGGGAGGATGGCCACACCACATTCCCTTCTCCTCCATTCTCCTCTTGAGATCTTGGGCACGCACGCACACGCACCTGGCGTGAGTTTAAGCCGCCGGGTCCAGGACTTGAACCGCGGTCGACTACACAGGAGTCCAGCAACATAGCCATTATGCTAACTGCTGGTCCCATGCCCACCATCTTTTAAAAGTCTTTTTCTGGATCCTTCTGAGATCAACATCCTGGCATTCTTACTCCCCTTCTTGGTTCATTCACCTATTAGTTAATTCAGTTTCAGAGGGATTTTGTTTTGTAAGTTGACGTTTTAGCTGTCTGCTAGTTCCACAAACATCAGTCTTCTTTACATTTCTCATTTTCTTTGTTGATTTAGAATGATTTCCAGAAAGAGAAAGGATAATGCTAACTATAAATTCCACTCCCAAACAGAAGTCTGAGCCCTCCAACATGAAACCCTGGGTTCATATGCCCTGGGGACCCAGCATATCCTGGTCTTCCTTTCAAATCCAAGACCACCTGTTTGTACCCACCTATGCTAGGTCATCCTCAGCTTCATGATTTCTGATGTGGAATACAAGCTTATCTCTGGACTTTCCTTTTTCAAGTCAAGGGTGACCTCTTCTATAAGTATTACATTAAATACCATCTTCAAGCTACTAATTTCCAAATATGTACCTTCAATAGTAATACACACTGCCTTATCTAGATTTTACACCCACCTATGCATTATAATCAAATTTGGAAAACATCAATTCAAAATGAAGCTAACCCAAAGTAAACAAATAATAATCTACATAAAACTGCCTTGCCTTAAGATTCAGCCTAAAATAATACATTCTATTTTTCTTTTCCTCATCCTGGTAAAACACTTCTCTACCACATAATATATATTTATTATTGTCTTCCTAATATAATGTAATCTCTTTAAAAGGATATATATGTTTGATTACTACTGCTATCTTTACAACAACAAACAGACCAGCACCTATGAGCTGCTTAATTCAAAAACATTGAAAAAAATAATAAGTATGTGAATAAATGCCTGAAATAAAACAGGATATTAAAAGAAAGGAAGAACAACTTAGAATTTTGAAAAAATATCTAACCAACTAAGAAGTCTAACAGTCAGGTAGAGATTGACTGAACTGATAAATCTAAGAAAATACACATCAGTGAGAAAAAAGGGGGAAGATAGATTTATACATAAGAGCCCTCACTGGAGACAGTACAACATACATACCTGACGAATGAGACCAGCTGTCCTCAGATTTGAGACCCGGGAATACAAATGGTGAAAACAGCTCAACACGGCCAATATCTGCTGAGCTCTCCTCATGCCAGCCTTCCTCACCAGTGTGCGCTAACTGACATGGGAGGCTCTGGTTTGGGAGGTCTACTATCCATGGTTCTGCTCCTTGTTCCAACTTAAAGATTACCTCAGGTTTGATAATGCTGTGCCCTAAATGGGAAATAACATAAAACTTTTACAAAGCTGCTAAGTTAGGTCCTTTGAAGAGTAATGACAGCACAACTTCTGGAATTATACAAGGAAGGAGCCAATATAAAATCTTTCCTTGGAGAGACTAGTATGTTCTTCAATAACTACCATCTTTCCTAACTAGCATTAATCCCCATAAAGGGTTCATGTACTTGCCTACAAAGAAAAAAGTGCTATCTTTGGTAATTACTAGCGAGTTTCACTCACCCAAGGACACTAGGATGCCATAGGTCTCTAGCATCACATCCCTGTACAAGGTCCTCTGAGCATCATCCAGGTTCTGCCACTCCTCCCAAGTGAAGTCCACAGCCACATCCTCAAATGAGACCAAACCCTGTAAGAACACATTCCTCAACTCATCAGTCCTGGATCACAAAGCATGAAGACTATGTGTATGTGTTTCTTACATAAGATACAGCATGCTTTGTATTCTATAGGGAGGAAAGAGAGAAAAATCACAGTAGAAATATCCTGTCTCTGTATCACATTAGAAATTCTAAAACTTACTATTATAGAGTTCCCCTTAAAGATCTAGACTGTCCTTGTTACCTGCAAGAACAGAAAAAATAAAATTCTGCTCCTGAAAGGAGCTCATATAAGTTCACATACCTGAAACAACGTGTTAGATAAACTAAGTTAGATACACATTCAAAGTAAATCAGGGTAACAAACAGAAAACACAGGTATTTTTCTTTACTATTGAGCTGCACTTTACTGAAAAGGCAGATGTTTAGATATTCTACGTGACTATCTTCTCAGGAATATGAAGCAAGAAGTCCAGCCATAAATGTATAAGAATATATCCCAGGTTAATGAAAGTTTACACAGCACCATGTCTAGGTGAGTGTTCCTAGGCTGTTATGAGAAACAAAAAGATATCCAAGGAACTGATTTTCAAGTCATTTTGCATTAAAATAACTAACTTAAATCCAACAATAATAATTTTATGTGCTTACTTGAAAAAGATATTTATAAACATAGGTGTGCAAGCACTTTTCTGACAGAGCGTTCTCCTATCCTTTGGATAGAAACCCAGGAGTAGAATTGCTGGATCATGGTAATTTTATTTGTAGGAAGAGAATTTTAGTTTTAAAACAGAGGGTGTAAATAATGAGAGCCCCACCCCCCAAAAAGAAATGTTATTTGACCACATTTGCATTAAAAAGGCAGAAACAGAAATCAGTACTGATTTGCTGTACAAAGACACAAAAGGAAAGCTCAATTACATGCTATCTCCATAACCAGCTAGGTAGACAGTAGCCATATAAACTAAAATTGAGAAAAAGGACAAAGAGTATGATAGACAGAAGTGGCACAAATCTTAGATATATCAGGTTTAAAGTTTTTTAGTCTGAAATATTGGATGGTATAAAGGCATGGAGAGTAACTATGGATACCAGAGACAGTGTGGGAGGAGGGTGAGAAATAGTGGAGAGTGGAGAGTGAGAGGGAAGAAATTAAGGGGAAAAAATAAAATAAAACATTCCACAAACAAAATGGACAATTATGTTGAAGATAATATGTATGGTAAGATCTTGGTTTGAGCCAATACACAGTGTTTTCTGGAAGAGAAAATTAATTTTGTATGCTGTAATGATATACAGTAAATAAATAACAAATAATAAATAAGGAAAACTTTTGTAGTTTATTTCCTTTTTTTTTTTTTTTGAGAGGTTTTCGCTATAGGGCGCGTGCGCTCGCCAGACAGAGACAGAGAGACAGAAAGCGAGAAATCACCCCCCAGGGGGGGATGGTCACGCTGCAATCCCTTGTCCTCCATTCTTCTCTTGGGATCTTGGGCACACACACACACATGCCCGGCGTGAGTTCTAAGCCACCGGGTCCAGGACTTGAACCGCAGTCGACTACGTGGGAGTCCAGCGACATAGCCATTACACTAACTGCTGGTTCCCAAAATAAGGAAAACTTTTAAAAAGTAAATAAATATAACATCTAGCTCCAGTAACAATGGGGCAAGTTGCAGGGTGAGGATCAAGGATACTGAGCTGCAGAGATCAAACTCATCTCCCACACACCTTTGAACTCCCAGGTGTGTTAACTGGGATCTGGAGGGTCCCACACTTCCCTGCTCCCTGTGTCATTGGAACATCTGGCACCAGCGACAATGGGACAGGTTGCAAGGTGGATGTCAGGGAGACAGAGCTATAAAGAGACTTTGGCTCACCTCCTCCCACATGCTTTTGAATTATGAGGTGTGTTAATTAGGATCTTGAGGGTCCCATGCTTCCCTACGCTCCATGCCATTGGAAAATTCAGCCCAAGCAATGATGGGGCAGATTGCAAGGTGAGCATCAGGATGTTAGAGCTGCAGAGAGATCACAGCTCATCTCCATCCACAGTAGCTTACCCCCCACAAATTATCAACTCAATTAAAAGATGGGGAAATGAGATGAATAAACAACTCTCTGAAGATGAAGACTTACACACAGCCAAAAAGCAAATGAAAAAATGTTCATCCTCCCTTACCATAAGGGAAGTTTTGCACCTGTACCAAATCAAAACCATAATTAGATACCACCTAACCCCAGTCAGAATGGTGAAGATTTAAAAAACAAAAAATGATAAGTGCTGGTGAGGCTGTGGTGAAAGGGGAACTCTCCTACACCATTGGTGAGAATGTAAATTAGTACAGCCACTGTGGAGAACCATTTGGAGGTTCCTCAAAGTAACCTATTCCTACAAATAGAATTACCATGATCCAGCAATTCTACTCCTGAGTATCTATCCAAAGGATAGGAAAACGCTCTGTCAGAAAAGTGCTTGCACATCTATGGTTTTTTGTGGCATTATTCACGATTGCTAAGACATGGAACCAACCCCACTGTCCACAAATAGATAAATGGATTGAAAAAGTATGGCATATATACATTATGGAATACTACTCAGCCATAAAGGAAGATCCTAGCATCTGATAGAAAGTGGATAAACATAGAAACATAGAAGATTTACTGCAGAGTGAAGTAAGCCAGACAATGAAATACAGACATTTTATGTCTCCAGTTAATATACAACAAGTGTCTGCACTCTATGAAAATTGAAAGACTACAGAGAATATAGAAGCATGGAAAATGGTTATGGATACTGGAGACAGTGTGGGAAGAGAGTGGGAGATGGGAGAGAGTGAGAGGGAAAAAATCAAAAAGAAAAATAGAGAGGCAAGACATTTGAGAGACACGGAAATAGAAAATTATCTATTGATGATAATATGTATGATATCTTCAACTGTACTGGTAGAAAGTGTGTTCATGTAAATTAATTTTACAAGCTGTAGTGATATACAGTGACTGAATGTATAAAATAAAATAATAAAATTAAAAAGAAAAGAAACGAATGCCTACTTATATGTGAAAAAAAATTTCATCAAATATATGGCAATGGCCAACTTGCAATTAGATATATGATCAAGAGTTCAAGAGAGATCTAAACTGGCTGTAAAGATTTGGGAAGCAGCAGAATTTCAGCAGTGGCTGAAACCATGGGAGAAAATAAAACTTTTCAAAGAGAACCTAAGAGACTGAAAGGAGAAAAGTAGCAAGGACAGAGTTTAAGAAAGCACTAAAATATATCAGTAAAAAAAGGGAAATAGAACATGAGAACAGAGGAGAAATTTTTTTCTTTGAGAGGTTTTTGCTGTCAGGAGTGTGTGCTTGCCAGAAAGACAGAGAGAGAGAGAGATAGAAAGCAAGGTATCACACACACCACACACACGCACACCCCTCCCCCCACGGGGGGGATAGCCACACTGCAATCCCTTCTTCTCCATTCTCCTCTCAGGATCTTGGGCATGCACACACGCACCCAGCATGAGTTTAATCCACTAGGTCCGGGACTCGAACTGCAGTCCATTACATGAGTCCCGCGACAATGCCATTACACCAACTGCTGGTCCCAGAGGAGAAATTTTTGAAGTTTATTAAGGATTTAAGTTTATTGAGGATTTAAGAAAAGCTCAGGGTTTCTCTACTTGCTGTGGCAAGTATGAGAGGTATTAGTCAATTCAAATGAAAATAAATATAAATATTATGACGTACATACAATTTACACCTAGAAAACTGAACAGAATTTCCTGAAAAACAATTACAAATAGGACAATTCAATAAATTAACAAGACAAAAACAAAAAACAGAAATGTCTTCATAAACACTCACACAGTAACAAAAACAAAAAGACAAAATACCCAGCAATATATTTAACAGCAAACCCTGAAAAAAGAAAACAACCAAAAAACCAGACATACACAACTATATAAGGTGAAAAATTAATTAACATTGAGGTACACAAAGAACTAAGCAAATGGAAAGATATATCACATTCATGTACAGAGATTCTATACCAGAAAGAGTTCTCTCTTTCTTTTCTTAAATAGCCATCAATACCACTGGATTAGGGATCTAATCTGTGACCTCATTTAACTATAATTATCTCCTAAAAGCCCTATCTCCAAATATAATCACATCTGGAGTTAGGGCTAAATTTCAAAGTAAAAATTCTAGGTGTGGGGGCACAATTTGATATTCCTTGCTACAGATTTACAATCTTCCATTTGCCTTGCTTGGTCAATGACATAAGAATGGAAGTGCTACATGTCACTTCTTAGAAGCTGTAAGAGCCATATGCAGGTCACCATGTTCTCCCACTGTTGTGAGGACCAATAATATTAAAGAAATACTCGCCTGTCTGGGACTCTCAGTGAAGTAGGAAAAAAAAAGTAAACATGACTCTGGATGGACAGGTAATATCAGTCAGAAAACAAACAAACAAAGAAAAAAACCCAACCAAACAAAAAAGCACCTGCTGCTGATCTAATCAAAAATTAAAAATTAGTTAACACCATAAGAAAACAATCAGTATCAACAATGACAAGCAGTTCAAGGATAGTGCTCTATTAACAGGTTACCCAGTTCTAACAGTAACTGTTAACTTATGTACTTAAAACTGTCTAGGTAAATGTGTTACTCATTAAGTCAAACATTTACCTCATGAACTTAAATCTTTAGCAAAAGGAGCTAGAAAATAAAAGGATAGTAATATATCTGTCCAAATGCTCCCTGAATTTGGCATTGTACTACTAAAAAATGTAGAACACATAGAAAAAAATAAAAGCCCGTTTGTAAACAGGAATGAAATGGAATAGGGATATACTAGAAATTTGAGGTCATACAGAATTGGAAAACTCTCAAAGCACTTCTCATTTTTTATTTTATGTTTTAAATTGGAAAGGTTGCCTCTTCTAGTTCTTACATAATACAAGGAGGAATGCTTTGAGAATCAAGACCAAAAAAATTCAACTCCATTAATGGTAATTAACAAATA